CCAAACTAAATGTTGTTGGATATTTAATTTATTTTAGTTGTAAAAAAATAAGTTTAGTGTTTAATTCAATGACAGTTGGTTCTGGTATTTTATATGATAGTTTATATAAAATTTACCTGAATAATAAATTTGCACAAGCTTTAGTTACCTTTCATTCAAATATTGGATCAAAACATGGTTTAATTAATGAAAATTCTCCATTCTTGTGGTATAAAAAGCTAGTGCATATCTCTAGAAAAATAATTGAGAGATTAGTGAATGATGAAATTTTATAAAATTTTAACTTCACTAATTTCCAAGTATGTATACATTGCATAAAAGGAAAGCAAACTAAACATACAAAGAAATGTGCCACAAGAAGTAATAAGCTTATTAAAATAATTCATATGGACATTTGCGGACCACTCTCCATTCCTTGTTTCACTGGAGATAGATACTTTATCACCTTTATAGATGATTTATCTCGATATGGTTATGTATATCTAATGCATGAGAAGTCTCAAACATTGACATCTTTAAAGTGTACATTACACAGGTTGAGAGATAATTAGATAAAAATATTAAGATTGTGAGATTTAATCGAGGTGGTGAATTATATGGTAAATATGATGAGTTATGATAAAATCCTGGTCTATTTTCCAAATTCCTAGAAAAATATGGCATTTGTGCTCAATACACAATGTCAGGTACGCCACAGCAAAACGATATTGTTGAAAGGCGTAATCGTACTTTAATGGAAATGGTTTGGAGTATGATGAGTTACTCTTCTATACCTATTTTTTATGGGGTGAAACCTTAAAGACCACAATGTATATTTTGAACAGAGTTCCTAATAAGGCAATATCTGCAACTCCTTTCGAGTTGTGGACTGGTAGGAAACCAAGTTTAAGACATTTACATATATGGGGTTGTTCACTGGAGGCAAGAATCTTTAATCCTTATGAGAAAAAGTAAGATTCAAGAACAATATTTGGATATTTTATTGGTTATCTAGATAAGTCCAAAGAGTGTAGATTTTATTGTCCTAAATATAGTACGGAAATAGTTGAAACCGGTAATGTCAAATTTTTAGAAAATGAAAAAATCAGTGGGAGTGAACCAAGAAAAGTAGATCTTGAGGTAATAAGAGTGGATATCCCACCACCATTTTTGCCTCAAGAGACAACTCTTACTCATCATTCTCAACAAGTTATAGAAAACGAGCTACATAATAGAAATGGTTCATTACCACAAGAAGATATCATCATTGAAAATATTATAGAACAACCTCAATCAATACCTTTAAGAAGATTTCAAACGGAAAGAAAATATGCTATATTAGATGATTATGTGGTTTATCTACAAGAATCTGATTTTGATATTGGGTTAAAAACATATTTGGTTACATTTTCACAAACCATGGAAAGTCATGATTTTAATAAATGGATAGAAGCTATAAAAGAAAAGTTGAAGTCTATAGACCATAATAATGTCTGGGATCTTATCGAATTGCTTGATAATTGTAAAAATGTCACTTGTAAATGGGTCTTCAAGACCAAACGCAATGCTAAAGGTAGTATCGAAC